CGAGCGACATGGCGCCGGCCTGTCAAAACGCATCAATGAATTGTTGCGAGCTGTCCAATCATTTTACGCAAGCAACAACATTTTAACCAATCCAAATTGGGACAAACAAACCAAACAAACAAACAAACAAACAAACAAACAAACAAACAAACAAACAAACAAACAAACAAACAAACAAAAAACAAACAGGCAAATAATCCAGAGATGACGAGTACCGCATAAACTGTGGGGAACTAACAAACGTGCCTAATAAAAGCGAAGAAGAGAAGATGCACTTTCGAACGACGTCCCATCGTCCCATCGTCCCGTCGTCCCAAGGATTCCCTTGCGTCGTCCCATCGCCATGTCCTAAGAAAGCTGACCTTCTATCGTGGTTGACGATAAAAATTGATGCCGTATAAAACCATTTGATGTTTGTATTGGCCCCATAAAGGGGCCTATTTTCGGCCTAATTTCTACCAATAGCCGTGCGCTAAACCTCCAGATACAATCCGGATGCATGTCAGCCAATGCCTATGCTCGATGAGGATCGCCAGCCAATGCCTATGCTCGATTTGTGATACTCGAATAGGCATTGGCCAGTGATCCCGCTAGACGGTTGCCACAGAGGCAGCAGCGCGCCAGCGTCACTGCAAGCTCTGCTGCAAGCTCATGGCGTCCGCCCGTCGGTCGTGCACTGTTGTCGGGCTCAACGACCGGCAGCTCGACGCGACCGACTGAAGCCTCTCTAGGGGCTTGTACGACTCGGATTATGCGCGGGGCGGCGAGCGAGGTGCCTTCCTATGGTACTCACACCATAGCGTGTGCTTCCTGGGGCGTCAGCACGACGCGCAAACACGGACGCCGTCGATGGCAATGCAGCTTTGGGCTCCATGGATCGAACGGGTCGTCCGGGGTTCGATCACAGGGCGCGCGTCCCATGCTCCAAGCTGTCGAATTTGCTGTCTACGAACTTCGAGTGTTATAGAATTATTTCATTTTAAGCCAATGCCTGTGCAGCAGCACGTGCCTCATAAGTAAAAATCAGCCAATGCCTGTGCTCCTAGAATGCATTATAGCCAATGCCTGTGCTCTATTCGACCCACATCCTACGAGGTAGTCCCCGATCGAACACCGTCGTCGTCGTCTCGGCCAGGACGTCAATCGCCTCTGACGCTGCTTGCGTCACGTGCAAGTGCAATCGAGGCGCTTTCGCGACGACGTTGTCGAGAACGGACTCGAATTGATGCAAAAGACGCACGTCGCGCACGTGCCATACCAAATGCATCGCCTTCGCAGGCGTCGCATGCACCGCGTCGACGAGCAGTCCGAGAAGCGGCGTCACGCCAATGCCACCCGCGACAAACACAAGCGTATCAAACGGTGCGGGGTGCAACCCCCGGCGCGACGACACCGTGTCGGCGTACAGAATCGGGTCGGTCTCGGCGAGTGTGCACTGAGCAACGTACGCGTGCAACTGCCGCGTCCAGTGTCCTTGTACCTTGATGTGCACAGCGAGCGTCTCGGGCGTTGTGACGGGCGCCGACGTGATGCTAACGGGTGCCACTGCGTCGACGAAATCGCCGGCGCGCGCAGCCAGAGCACACCACCCGGGGCGTACGTTGTTGCCGTCGCCAACACGAGCTCGGTGACACCGTTGATGTCTTCCCCACACCTTGCGAGATGGTTCCAGTCCTGGCATCGCGAGCGGCCTTCGCACGCGTGCACTAGAAAGCAAGAAAGAACCCTGCTCCACCAGGGCGAAACTTCTGCTTATCCGTTGTTCGAAAGATCGTTGCACGCTCAGGCCGTTGCGATCCAACGGCTCACAACGCACCGGCGGATAACCTTGGTCGATCCGTCCGTGCACATCAACCGTGGTCGTGGGCAACCGCGCGAACAACGGCGACCGGTGCCGATGTGAACGCTGCCGAGAGCACCTTGTTGGCAATGTACAGGACCATAGTCATAAACACCCACGCAATGATCGGGCCCCAGTGCAAGACCGCAAAGAGCGTCGCGGGCACAAAGAGAAAGTGCGCCGCCTTAAAGGTAGCGTACGACCGGCGCCGAATCACCGGCAGCGACATGACGGCCATGCCCACAATGCAGAAAACGAAAGCCACCCAAACGCATTCATCCACGGCTTCTTCCCGTTAGCAAAGATCGGTCCAAAATAATGTATGGAAATACTATTTCCATAATTTGTTCACCCCTAAGTATGGCAGGCCTCGTAAATATGGCCATTATGGGGGCGAGCTTCGAAGGACGGGGCCATAGGTATGGCAAAACTGGTGCTTAGGGACAAAAATGGGTGACTTCAAATCCGCGTAAATTCGTCTTTAAATCGGTTTCTTTAAGACGAATAAAACGCAACATTTCTCCAGGACACGCTTACCGTCTTTAACAAGACGATCGACAACGTGGGTTTCATCGTCGGGGACAATTGCGCCACCAACAAAGCCGTTGCCGACCATCTCCACATCCCCCTGGTTGGCTGCGCATCCCACCGCCTGAACCTTGCTGTCCAAGCGTACCTCCAGCAGCACGAGCACCTTATCCAGACGATCCACGTGCTCATGGTGCGCCTCAAGACAAACAAAAACCGCGGCTACCTGCGCCAGCATACGCACTTGGCACCGAAGGTCCAGAACGCCACGCGCTGGACTTCGACGTTTACAATGCTCGAGCGCTTCATGGCGATCAAGGACCACCTTCCGTTCCTACGCGACGTCGTCGACCTCATCCCGTCGCCGGGCGCCGTCGTTAAGGTCGAGCAACTCATCATCGCCTGCAATGAGTTTCATGGTTACACTCTCGCGCTTCAAAAAGACGACATCAACCTTCTTGAAGTGCGACAACTTTTCGACGAACTCATCAAACGCTACCCCGTGATGGCTCGGGAACTGGCTGCGAACGCTGCGATCGTCAAAAGCCCGGTTTTCGAAGCCGCTGTCGTCAAGGTCTTAGGAAAGAAGGAGTCTCTGATGACGGATGAAGAATGCGATGCCCTCGAAATGTTCAAGCTCCCGGTCAGCTGCAGTGCGCCGCAGCCCGTCGACACGACCCCTGTCGACCCAAGAATGCTAGCATTCCATGTGCTCAGCAACAAGCGCAAGAGATCCGAAGAATCCGCCGGATCCTCGTACTCCAACCTCCAGTACATCATCCCCACGTCCAACGTCGTGGAGCGCCTGTTCTCCAAAGCTAAGCTCGTCTACTCTGATCGCAGACAGCGCATGCTTCCCATCACGCTTGAGGCCATCATGTTCCTAGCCACGAACAGAAACTTCTGGGACGAGGCAATGGTCGAGGACGTGCTACGCAGCACGCCTATCCCGGATGTCATCTCCAACACCGTCCAAACCGTCCTCCACGACTAGACCGATTACCCCTAGCAATACATCTGCATGACATAATACATCTACATCTTGCTTTTACTATAATATGTGAATCTCCATGGGTTAAACTCCTGTGCCGCAACGTTTAAACTCAAAACCCCCGATTATGGCCATATATGCCATTTATGGGAGGCGATTCTCATTTCTAGGGCAATATGTATTGGATTTGAGACACGTAGGGTACATTTATATGCCACGTCCATGAATCCTGCCCATTTTTTTCCATACTATGGAACCGATCTCTGCCCGTTAGTAGCGAGATCGCAGTGAAAGCATGGCATGAGCCCCGCGACGTCGTTTTCGGCCACGTAGACTTAGACGTACAGCGCCGTGTGGACTACAACGCACACCAGTGTCGCGACACCGAGCCACTTGTAGTACGCGACGCCGCGCGCAATCGAAATACCGAAAAAGTCCATCCAAAAACAGTGTTTTGTCGCCGGGAGCGACACAAACATCATGTTGTAGAGCGACGCCAAGGGCGAGCGCTGCGGCCTCGAGACGCTCGTGCAATGTCTTTTGTGGCCGCGTACGGTAAGAGTAGTAGAAAAATGCCGTCGCAATCGTCAAGAAGAGCACTTCGCCGAGCGAGAGACCGGCGCAGAGGGCCGGTGTCCGGTGCAGGAAACGGACGAATTATCTTCGCACCGCTCGTTTGCAATTGTACGGACAGCAGCTCGCTAGCGTATGGGACAGTCATGGCTACTCCATTAGGACACGGACGATCGACGCCTACTTTCCACATATCGCATACGTCTATCCTTGACATCAACTGCTCCATCATGTCTCGTCTGCTCATGCCCCTTGCTCAACAATGCACTTTGAAGCCAACAGCGATTGGATTTGGCTGTCTTGCGAGTAATGCTAATATCTGCAATGTGCCGAACGACTTAAGTAACATGGCAGCGTAATTTGCCGCCCCTTCTGGCACAATCCAGCGAGCGACTGAGTGGAAAAAAGTTGTCGGTCTATTGATATCTAGTGCACTAGTATGTACGGTCATCGATGTGCGCTCGTTATATAACCCACGCATCGAGCAGCTCTGTGCACAGATACAAGAGCTTTTCGAGTGCTTCAAAGCTCCTTGATGTACCGTCGTTTGTGCAGCTAATGTCTAAAATCGTCTCGGCAACCCGTGCCTTCAAGCTCGACAACGCGCTTCCATCGCGCCGTCGCGCGTAAATATACCCGTCGAGCACGTTCGACATGGCGTTGACGTCCAGCAAAGCTGCGTGGAGAACGCTCTTGGCATGCATCTGAAGAGCGCTTGTCACCTGCGATCGAATCTGTGTCGCGAGGGCGCGGACAGAGGTCGCTGAGAACGGACCGATGGTAACAACAAGGCCCCACGGTCCCGCCAGCGCCTGTTTCGGCACAAGCCGCCGTGTTGGGTCGTCGGCACTTCGAAGCACTCGTAGTTGGCTGGCGTCTTCCAGAATGTCCTTGAAATGGGTGGTTTGGAGCGCACTTGCGTCGGCCATGTCGGCGCAAAGACAAGCAGAAAGCTCGCTGAGAAGCGTCGTTTTCGCGTGTTCGAGTGTCCACGTGTCGTGCTTAAGGCGCGAAATCGCATCTTCGAGCACGTCCCAGCCCTCTTGTAGCACTTGTAGAACGGACACCCGCATGTCGGCGCGCCCCGAGTCGGCTTGCAAAAGGACATAGTCGGTAAGGAGATGCAGCAGCATTGTACACCACGCTTGTGCGGGGGCCAACGCTTGCTGCCGCGCGGCATGGCTGCTTGCAACGAGAGCCTCGTAGCGCTGAACAAAGGCGTTGATCTCGGGCGAAAAGGCATCCCGGTACGTGGCAAGGATGCCACGTGCAGCTTCATTGCGCGAGCGCATCGGCATCGACAGTACCGACTCGACACTCGTTGCGCTTTGGATTCGCCTGCCGCTTTCGATTCCGTGACTGGATAAACCGATGGGCGCCGACGTCAGCTTCAAGGTTTGCCCTGTAAAATGTCACGTCCATCGACTGATAGATTGATACTTATCACGTCAATCCGGATATAAGAAACTATCCGGATCAACGTTGACAGATTCAGTCAACTGCCTGGTCACGAGAGTCTAAATGCACGCAACTAGACGTCGGCAGTTGATGCTTTCGTTGTCGCAATGCGGGTCCTTGGCGAACAGTCTTCAATTTACCCAGTCGCGCACCCTTATCACCACGCAATAATGCTCGTCCCCTTCGGGTGTCTCGTGCTCATTGTCCTCTCGATCATTGGCGCTTGCCTCGACTGCGCTTCGCGCAGACTTCGACGGCGTACAAAATCGGAGTCGGCCTATGGCGATCGATCGCCGCTTCTGATGAACGATATGCATCGTCTCTCCGCCTCGGCACACACCGCGTCGCTCTCGAATGTCGAATTGGACATGAATGGAGCAGCACCCGAGCTAGACGACGACGACATGCAGCGAGAAGACGAGCCGACGAGCACCGAGACGGTGGAGGCACCAGACACCGAGACATCGACCGACCACGTCGCCCTGGACATCAACGAGCACCAGATCCTTCCACGACCAACCTTTGAGCGCCAAGACGAAGCAACACCCGATCAAGACGACGACGACGGGGCAATTTTGCAGCGGGACAACGAGTCGGAGCCCACCATTAAGCCACTGATCGTCACGAGACCGAATCTTCCGCCTTACCGGTCGCTGATTCAGCAACATTTTGACGAGATCTGGTGCGAGTACGATAAGTCCGCGCGATTGACCAAGGCCATCGCTGCCCAGCCTCCCAACGCTGCAGGACTCGCGAGCGGGCTATTTCAGCTACGAACGGGGCTTGCGATCTTCGATACGCTCATCGACGTCAGCATTCAGCCAGCTCTCTTTTCACGCAACTCGATGGCGACCGTCGACGCCTACGTGCCCGCGTGCCCTCACGATGCTGCGCCGTTGATCGGAACAGCGACGACACAGGCGCTCAACAGCTGCGACGCGGTCGACAAGGCGGGGCGCGAAGTCAATTCGTGGTGCATACAAGCCGAATCGTTCCTTGCATTTGCCATCGAAGCGGTGCGCGACGACAACTTGAAGGACGCGACAACAGTCGCCGTCGAACTCTGCCGCAGCGGCGTCGAAGTCATGCAGAAGGTAGCGACAGCAATGCATTCGTGTATCGACACGTTGAAGGACACAGCGGTCATGTATGAAAAGCTCGCCGCGCTCCACAAGACCAGTGCGAAGACCAACACGTTGACGAACGGGGAGCTAGGGAACGCGATGTCATTTGAGCCCGACGTCGTCGAGTGGGCCAACGTACTCCAGCGCCACGTGCGACGCATTGCTAACCTCGTTGATCGTATCGAAATAGCGCTGACGGAGCTGCAGAATCTGCGCGTCGTTGAGGCACTTGAATCGTACCTTGAGCACTCCGTGTCGCTGGAGACGTTGGACCCAGCGACGCTAGAGGAGCTCACGATTGTATCGTCCGCCCTTTTGAACGAATGCGAAAATTACCAGCACAAGCATCGAGAACGCATTAGCGCTACATATAATGCCATGTAATGTGATAGATTATTGTTTGTTAGCTACTACTAAATTTATGTTAGTAGAATTTAATGGTCATCGAGGGTTCGTCTCATCAGCACTCCTTAGCGACGCGCACGGACGCATGCGGCTCCGTTCGTCGCCGGCGACAGCCATCTTTGGCCTAAGCGCGATCTTGAGCTTACATCTCTTGTAAATCGCCCCGAGTCGGTTGCAAGAAGAGCGAGCGCAGTGGCTTGCTTGCTTTTTCGGTAATTTGCGCGAGCTGACGCGACGCGGCTGTTGGTGCGATTGCCGTCGCTAGCTCAGAGGCTCAGCCTGTGACAGTGCACCATGCTATGCGACCAGTCGAGGCGATTGCATCTCGTCAGCTCGTAACTCCTCCTGCATTACGCAGCTGGGCCATCGTCCTTGAGCGAGCGACTGCGACCATGGCGGCGCCAGTCTGCCTCGCAGGACGAGAACGGCCGATGATTGGTCTTTTCTTAGCCAATCCAAACGTCCTGCTTAAAACACAGTGGTTTTTTATTCCACACAAGTGTGGTATTTGTGGTTTTTACAATGTCGTCGCTAGATCGCAAGCGTAGTGGCTCTTGTGGTTGCGAATAAATTCATTGCATGCATTGCACAAGGCGGACGCGGCCTCACAGTGGGCTCGAGCGTTTTTGCCAAGGTCCGTGGGGTGCTGGACCTCCTTCGCTACAAGCGAGCCAACGTCGGTTGTCGCGAGACCCTCCAGACCCATCTCGATGTGGCCAGCCATCGTGTGCAACCGTGTGGCCAGTTTGCGCAGAGCGTCCGCCATGGTACTGTCGATCGTCATCGGCGGACAAGTTGTCGTGGGCTGTGCTGTCCACGGTAGAATCGACGCTTCTTTGCAGGCGCTGTATGCCTTGTAAATGGTCTTGCGTATTTGCTGCATCTTTTCCGGTACCAATGACACCAATGCGGACGACGTCGTCATCGTCTCTGACGTCACCAGCGTCATCGCACCGTGGGCACTTGTCTCTGACATTATGGTCTCCTTGGTGCCGTCCGTAGTTGCTGGCGTTTGGTCAAGGCTGCCGGTGCGCATGCGGGCACTGAACAGCATCGCTTCGTCTTCAACATACGTCAAGAGCGCTTTTGTGGTCGCGAGGGCTCCCGTGGCCGTCTTCATGGCGTCAGCACTGCCGATGTAGACGGAGTGCAAGACCGTACGTGCATCGTCGAGATGGCCGCTCTTCAGAAGCTCTTGAAACGCGTCAAGCTGCGGCGTCACCGCGATGCACCAGAAGTACACGGCGCGCGACGCTTTGGCATACGCATCGTGGGCATCGAGAGCACGTGTCATCATGTCACCAAGAACGTACGCCATGTCGAGAGGGCAGTGCGGCCCATAGAGCTCGATCGAACGCAAAAGTCGCTCGAAAAAGAGGTGCGGGAGGTAGCCGTCGTCGAGGCGCCGGTTGTACAGGACGAGGACGGCGTGGAGCTGGGCCAAGACCGGGACGCCATCGACAGCCGACGTGGTAATCTCGGCGGAAGGTGCACTTGGGATGTTTTGAGTCCACGGCGCTTCAAAAGCTGCGGCTCGCGCGTCTTCGTATTGTAGCGAATCAAACTCGTTGTCGTTGCACATCGGAGGACGGTCGGATGGATTCTCCTTGCGTGTAGGCTTGGTGAAGAAACTCGTGCACTTGGATATGTCGAACCAGTGGAACTTCTTGTTCGTATTCGTGTTGGTCGACGGGCTAAAGTAGGTCACACCCCGGCTCAGCGCCACGAGCCACTTGGAGTTGTCGTCGATCGTCGTCTGGTCGCTGGCGCAGAAATATGACTCGTTGGCCTCGAGCGTCGGGGGAGACCACCCGGCATGCATTGTCTCGTGCACCCGCATTTGTCTTGTGTGCACAAATACTACGGACCGCGGCCAAAGTGTCAAGTACCCAAGTCGTTGATACTTTTCATCAGCCTCGCTTTGATCTTTGACTACTGGATACAAAATTGATACAACCATGTAATTCTTGCCACTGACTTTCACCATCCTTTCTCGCGGAATCCACAGAGCAGCACGACGCTTCGTGCGTGTAGCTCCGTAGATTCGACGACTGTATGGCCGACAACTTGTCTGTGTTGCCAACGTTGCAGCGACGCGCCGCGACATGCCTCCACCATCCAGTGCCCGCGTCACCCCGGAGCTTCGCGACACCACAACACGTCTCGATCTCTCACCAACGGGCATGGATCGCCACTGTGTAACGGCCGCCAATGATGACGTGGCGCCACCACAAGCCACTATCTCGCACGCCACGGCGCACGCCACCCTCGACCGTCGTCATCTCGGCGCCTCGTGTCGCGTTGTTCATTGTAAGACCTCCGACTGCCATCTTGTCCTAGTGTCTCGCAATAAATGTGATAACTTAAATAATATGTACGTCGACACGTCTAGTTGAGCGTGCCGTGCGTGGCGCTCGCGCGGCAGAGCGGGCACGTAGCCTCGGTCTCGAGCCACTTGACCAAGCACGCTTCGTGGAAGCTGTGGCCGCACGCGGTTCGGAGGCTGCGATCACCCGCCGTCGTCTCTTCCAAGCAAATCGGGCAGTCGTGCGGAAGGCTGCACGGCTTGCGAAGAGCCTCTGAGCGGCGCGGCGCACGGAGAAAGCTACCGACGAGCTGGCCGACGTCGTCGCCCTTGCGGTCGTCCGGCGTTGCTGCAACCAGCCGCGCGACGTCGGCCGTGAACCGAGCGAGTCCTTCGGAGCGCTCGTCGACGATACTGCGGTTGTCGACGGCAAACACAAGGCGGCGGCGCGGGAACGGGCCCGACGCAATTTGCTGCGCTTTGGCGTCCGTGGTCGACGACAGGTCCCGGAGCAGTGCGCGGAGCGCGTAAAAGTCCGAGTACCGGCGGTCAAAGATCCACCAGCTCGTGGTGCGCGGGCACACGACTGCAAAGCGGTAGCTCATGTAGGCGTCGGCGCCGGCGAGGTTGCCCTTGGTCCGGGTCGTGACCTTGGTCGCGCCGAGGCTGTAGACGCGCGGCGTCTTGGCGACGGACGGGCACTTGAGCACAGCATCGTGCTCGGGCGCTTGGCGCTTCACGGCCAGTGTCGGCTGGGTGGTCATGCTGGTCGGCTCGAGAATTTTGAGTTGTGGCGCGGTTCAAAGTGAGGACCTGCGAAAGCTCGCGATATGATGCGAATGCCATCTGGGTTTTTGACTGCAACAAAGTATATCCGATATAATACAGTGTACGTGATCCAGGGGTCACATGTCGCGTTCTGCGACCCACTGGAGCAGATGGCCGCCGCGCGAGATGCGATTTCGCCGTAGACGTCGCTGGGAGGCGCGGACCGTACACTTGGCACGACACCCGCGACGCTGGCGTGCGCAGCAGCAGCCATGCCGTTTGGCGATGCAGCGCACGGCTCGTAGCACCAAGTGTGAGGCGTGTTGGGCAGGTCAAGGCGCAGAATTTTGGCCTCGGTTCAGCTGGGCGTGCAGACATGACCGTCGAGTATCGCGGAAACCATACTTTGTTGCTGTCAAAGGCGCCGTTGGGTTCGTGGTTTGCAGCAGCAAACCAAGGTATTTGTCCAGTGCCACCGACCTTAATAGCCACTAATTCTGCGCGCTAATGCTGCGGCGTCGACGACGCGCCCGTGGGTGGTAACCACGCCATCTCTATGGCCAGCAATTGCGATGGGTCGGGACCATGTCTAGCCCCGTGCGTGTTTTATTTTACCAAAGTACTACGTATGAAGTCTTTGTGTCATAATGAAGATAACGCGGAACACGTTCATATATATATATAAAGTACTATACGCAGTACACGTTATATATCGCGCCGAATCCTCTCGCAGGATCGATGTCCCGACCAGTCGAAGTCGCCGGCGAACGCTCGCGAGACACGGGCCCTATCGCCAGGCAGGCAACGACCGGCTTCAACGATCATCCTGGTGAATTCGAGCGGTGGCCATTGCCTTCAACGAATGCTCAACGACGGGTGAATGACGTGGCCGCGACTGATCGGAGCGATCGGCGATTCGGCGCTCATACGTCGGAACACGGTCGAAGCGCCGCGACGTTCCGCTGCGATTGGTGCCCGTCCAGTCATTCCTCAGTTGACGCGCTCGCGTGTACCTAGCTACTACAAGGACCTCGGCACCTGCAAGGCGCACACAGAACACCATAGCAGAACGCATATTGTTCGATGCTGTTCGATGTGCGTTGGTGGAGTGCGGAAATTAGTGTACTGCGGGGACATGGGGCCGTCGATGGCAATGGCGACAACGCTGGCACGGGCCAAGCACAGCTTTTTACTGTCGCGCGCTCCATTCAGGTGCTCGTAGCCTTATCGTTGTTGATGCCAGCGTCGCTCGTAGAGACGACTATGCAAAGCGAGAAAGAAGCAGTCGCTAGTCTGTTGTACGCTTGCACGACGATTCCCTTTGGCGAACGAACTACACCGAGACTCGGCAAGGACGTCGTACTACCCTACGTCTCTTGCTCGCGAAAGTGTGCACAAATGCTATGTCTATTTTGGTTGAATTGCTGTCTGTGTTGCAGCCATATCCACAACGCCACTTCCGTGCGTTGGTTGTGCCCGCCGTCTTGATCTATCTTGATCTCTCGGCGCGCCACGTCATTCTGTTGAACCGATGAAACCGCTGAACGTGGGGGGATCGAGAAAGGTCGCACGCAACAGCAACAATGCAATACTCCTTGATCGATCGAAGCACCCAAACGGACGCCACGAGCATGCATTGTACACTATGTCGAGGTCGATCACCTCAGCTGCAACCGCAGCGTTGATGGAAGAGACAAGAGATAACGTTGACAGTGGGGCAACTTCTCGACGCAGGAGTTGCGCAATGCAGCTGTACGAGCGCAATAGCGGACGTTGTGGTCTATCGTACATAACGCAGTTTACCGGCCCGTGCGCTCTACCGATATCGTTGCAACCCCCAACCACCAACCAGCCGTAAGAGGTGCACCGGGCTACATCGCACTGCACTTGCACAAGGTATGAGATGATGTGTCTCTGCTGTCGGGGGATCGCAAGCGTATCGACCTCATCGCCGTGCGAGGAGCCGCCAAACAGCAGCGTCATTTCGTTTAGCTAGCGGAGGCTTCTAGTACTCTAGTCGACAGCGAATATTATATGCTCTCTGAGAAGGTCCTTGTTCATACGGTCGGCCACCGGGCCGTGCGCCTCGAAGCCAGCGGTGTGAGCTAGCGGTGTGGCAAGGTTGCGTGTCCCTTCGCTCCAAGATACTTTGCCTTTGATTGGTCCCATCGCCGAGCAAATCTTGGGTGCAAGCCAATCAACGCGTCGTGATCATAAACCAGAGCCAATCAGCGCATGTTCTTCGCTGTCGACGATGCCATTGGTGGAAATCACGACTCTTGCTCTTTGTATTGGCGATCGAAAGATCGCAACAGATTCGAATTCGCACATGATGGCGGACAAGGCGCTGCGGCAGCTCACGCGCGGCCTCACGAAGGAGTGCATCGAGGAAGGAATCCTCATGGCGCCGGAAGAGGCGAGCAGCATGGAGGACGCGCCGTACTTCCAGCGCTTCTCGGCCGACTTTTTCGAGCAGCTCGACATGCTGGTCGAGATGCACTTTGGCTCGGCGCTGTGGCAAGACATTTTGCAGGCGCAGCAACCTCAGAAGAAGAAGACGAGCCCATGGGAGCCATCCGAAGGTACAACCCTCGAGCCTACGTCTTCTCTAACGCCCTGCGCAGCGTGGACGCTGCTAGGACCCTCCACGACAGGGCTGCTGGGTCCGACGACGGTCGAGTCCATGTACGCTAGCGAGCCGCTGGAAGACAACCAAGTGACGCACGACCTGCCATCGCCAGCTGCGGAGACGTGCACGACGCAGTGTTCGCTCCCGGCCTTCGAAATGACAGAGACCACGGACGCCATGACGCCCGAGCTGCGGCTGGACGCGATGCTGCGCATGGTCCGGCTGGCACGGACGATCCAGCGCGCCGCGCAAAAGTTCAAGCAGCTCTTGCATCGAAGCGAGCGCCCCATGCAGCTCCAGAGTACATCGATCCTATCGCTTTGACGCTCATGCAATCTGTAGTTCACCGCGCGACGGGGCTGCGACCCGCCGACTGGAACGGGTTCAGTGACCCGTACGTGATTGTGACTGCGTTCGAGCTCCGTGGCGTCCAGACGCGCTACGAGGTGGCCAACTACATGATGACCAAGACCGAGATCCAGTACAAGACGCTCAACCCGGTCTGGGACTTCACCGTGCTCTTGTACGTTCTACCAGCCTCATGCAGCACTAATGTTGTTCTGGGCAGGCCCCACATGACGCCCGAGACTACGCTCTGCTTGACAGTCGTCGACTACGACTTTGGCTCGAGCCCCGACTTTCTTGGCCAGGCGGTACAGCCGCACTGCCACCTCGGCATGTCAGCTCACATTCGTTGTCTAGACCATCTCGATGGACCAGCTCCACGACAGCACGGCGCTCGAGCTCAAGCTCGGGCCGCTCGTGCACACGCCCTTGTACGCCGACGGCTCGCCCATGAGCTTTGGCGACCGCGATACGCCCGGCCAGGTCGGTGCCTCGTCGCCTACTCCATATATCTCATTCCAGCGTAGGGCACGCTGGGCCTCACGCTGGCGCCCGTGCCATGCCTTGTCTCGGGGCTCCTCCGCGTGCTCCCGCCGGCGCCCTTGGTTCGCTCGAGCTGGTTTGGCAATGGACCCACCTTCCAGGAGATGTATGGCCTTTTGCGAAGCGATACAAACACGCTATTGCTCTACTCGGCCAAGGACCGCGCCGCGTGCAGCCCGAGCTTCCTTGTGCCCCTCGACTCGATTGCACGCATTTTGGACCAGGAGAACGACGATGGGCAGTGGGAACTGCACAGCCACGAAAAGCATGCGTTGCCGCCGTGGACCTTCCGCGCCGAGTACTGCGACGAGAGCGGCGGCAGTGAAGAGGAGCGGCAGCGGACGCATGCGCGCTGGGTCAAGGCGCTGAGCCGCGCGACGCACCGCCCCGTGCTCGTCGAGCGGTCGCCGTCGCAGTTTCGGTTCAAGTTTATGACCTAGACGCGCATCGGTTGTAGGTAGTAGTCGCATTAAGCATCATCAAAGCATCATCAAAGCACCATGAAGCCATGCAGCGGACGTCGGCCATGGGCTTCGATCGCCTTCGCTGTCCCTGGCTGGTCGGACGAGGTGATATCTGCGGCGCAAGGCCATCTGGCCCTCGCGCATACGGACCACTGTCCCTGAACCGAGGGAATCCCTGACTTGAACGACACGCCTGTGTTTTTCACACGCAATTCGTACGTTGTTTACGTGGGAAACTGTGCGAAATGCCATTTGTCACTGGATTTCTCACGGTGGAAGGACCCATTGCAACAGCTTTTCGAAGGTCGTCGAGTCATTGAAGTGGGCTCGAATTGGCTTATATGAGTACAGTCGCCAGCGCCGCGACCGACGACGGCGGCTGGGGATGCGCCGCAGCGCGCTGCTGCAACGCGGCCATGTGGCTGCTCGCCGGCGGCGATGGGACCCGACTTGGACGCCGTGGTCGTCGCGATGCATCATTCGACGGCCGATGCGTCGAGACTATACTCGTTTACGCGAATAGCTCGTTGAGCGGACTGGTCGTGCATTGCAGTGCACACGGTGCCTGACGCCAGGTGGCGGCTACTCACGCTCATCGCAGCCACGAGCCATGGCCACGCAGCGCTCACTTTTGCTTCTTCCAATTGCTGCGATGTACGCGCCCTCGCTCCTCGCCCTCACCGCGCTCGCGAGCTCGGTCGCCGCCCAGGTCGACTGCACCAACTACGTGGTGACGTCCAAGAGCTCGTACGACACGACCTGCGACGGCTCGCAGGGTTCGCACGCGTGGCCCGTCGGCGTCGACGCGAGCTACTGCCACGGCTGGTCGGCTTCGGACGCGTCCGGCAACACGCAAAAGTACTCGGCCACGAACCTCCGCTGTAGCGCCGAGAACGACATGTTCCTCTACACGCAGCACGACGGCACGACCGACTGCAGCTCGGTCGGCAACAACATCAAGCAGCTCAACTTTACGCTGAGCTGCGCCAAGGATGTGGCGAACCTGTACCAGACGGGGCTGGACTTTAGCTGCTGCAACCAGCGCGCGGCGGCCTTTGATAGCTGCAAGCGCGCGCAGCCCGTCGTTTCGTGGCCGACGTCGCAGCCGCTGAGCAAGTTTCAGACGTTCGCCAACGGCCAGCTCTGCGCCGGCAGCGCCGACGATACCAACTCGACGACGGCGCCCAAGACCAAGTCGACGGTGACGACGACCAAGCCCGTCGCGACGACGGCGGCGGTGGCCACGGCGGCCCCCAACAGCGCCAGCCTCGCCTCGATCGCCGTCTCGGTCACGGCCGTGGCTGCGGTCGCGGCGCTTCTATAATCCCGCGCCTTCCCACTAGCTACACTTATCACTAATACTACGTTTCTGCCTCCTCTACCGACAGCTCAATTGGCCTGCTGCGCGCCTCGCAGCCGGTTGCTTTGGGAGGGTGGGAGGGTGTGGGACTCGGTCGTCGTCGACTTTGCCATGCTCCAGTGAGCTGTTCTCGTGTTGGATCGTTTCTATTAGTGCAATATCACTAGAAATATTGTGCAATATTAGTACTGTACCAAAGTATATATCCGCGACTTGGGTGGATTCAAGACGACACGTTCTTTTGCAGCATCAACAAAGTCATGTTGTACGCTGCCCTATCGTGTCCATGCCTCTAGCCACAGCTGTAGACAGGAGGCCGACGTACATGTCCAGGCTTGGCGAATCTGGTCGAGTCGAAAGCGCGCTCGACTGGGCAATATATCAATATGTATTTCGCTCGGTCGCGGCTTGGACGGACCGCTTGTGGACGAAACTCAATGTAATACGAGCGCACGCGGTCGTCGATGCGCTGCGACTCTGCGACGCAAGCTCCCTCGATGCGCGATGGTACGAGAGGCGCGTTCTATGCACATATTTCTCAAGGGCGAAGCTGATATTATGTATGATATATATTGTTAGGTGCGCGCGCTGCCCATCGTCTTCACTGCGTGGCGGCGGAGAAAGAAGGTTGCGGCAGCTGTGCTTCTCGTCTGCATATTGGCTGGGTTTGCGTTGCCTCTGCCCTTAAATATCAACCGCCTTCTTCCGACGCGACTGGGATTCTTCACCGATGGGCCAGATTCGCATTCGCTCTTTGGTATCGAACACGTCTGCCTCTGGTTCTGGTCCAAGCCCAAGGCCAAGTCTGCTCCTGAATACTTTTGACGAAGGATGTTGACGCCTCCGTGAAACTTGAAATTTCATTTACCATATGCTCGCGCGCTTGAAGTTCGCCAAATGCGTTTTCTCAGGATCGTCTCATCATAGGAGTGCAGCACCGATCATCTTGGAGGCAATATCGCAGGTCCATAGCACCGAACACGTTGTTTTCCGTCGACTGGCAGCTTTGTCTGCACTCAGATCTGAGCGTCCTAGACACAGAGAGAAATGAAAAGGACTTCCTTCAAGGAAGCGCTTGTCGAGAAATGCCATGGGTGCATGAAACAAGCGGCGGCAGCCGTCAGCATCCGGATAAATGCGTTGGCTCCACTGGATATTGCCTTAAAAAGTACAATACCGTGTCAGGAAATGCGATGGTGGATGGGGTATTGACGCATTGACGTGTCGGCCGCACACATCGTTGACACATTGATGCTAACTGCGCACGCAGTATGTCAGCTAAGGTCCGCATTGCACTACATGTATGATTATCAAGTCGATCAGCGATAATCATCAAACGGTAGTTGCGACAGCTTTCGATAAGGTCCGAGCGAATACGTGATGATAGAGACGGCAGCCATGGATACATGCAGCACCCTCGACGGTCCGCAAAGCTTATGGTTGCGAGCTCCAGCCGGGTGATTGGCGCAAACAACCACTGCCAGCGCCGTTCGCTTGTGAGCCCACCACCTCGGCACTGAATCGTTCTGTACTTATTAGGCGAATTCCGGCCTGAAGGGCCTAATGACTGGTCGAGGGATCTTGGCGTCCAACTCTTCCCTCGCACCTAGATCCCTCTGTACCGGTTCGTGGTGCACCTGCGCAGAGAAATGCTGTCCTTGGGCCGACCTCTGCAGCGGCGACCAAGAGACCCAACGACCACGACCAACGACCACGATCGACGCCAATGGCCGTCGTCCACCACGGCGTCGCGACCCAATGCAGGTCCTACTCTCCTTCAAATTCACTAGAAAAGACAGCTTGTATCGACTTTGACAAGGAGGAAGATATCGATTTATAGAGGTGGCGATCCGCAGCGCTCGCAGGTCGCCATTCCGCCTTTTGCCATGTCCAACCCGCATCTCAAGGCCGCCAAGAAGGAGGCCAGCACCGCCAAGCTCGGCGCCGCCCACGGCGAAGACATGCCATTGACCGGCCATGGCACGCGCACGGTCAGCCAGTGCGAAGCCATCAAGGACGTCATCCTCGGCAGCAACGTCAACGCGCTCCTGCTCGTCGCGCCGTTCGCTGCGTGGTCGTACTTTGGCCACTGGTCGCCCATGTGGGTCTTTGGCCTCAACTTCCTCACGATGATGCCCTTGGCCAACATCTTGGGCGAAGCCACCGAGACGCTCGCCGAGCACACGGGCGACACGATCGGCGGCCTCGTCAACGCGTCGTTCGGCAACGCGGTCGAGATCATCATTGCGATCTTCGCCTTGAAGCAGGGCGAGATCGAGCTCGTCCAGTCGTCGCTCATCGGTTCGATGCTCTCGAACCTCCTCCTCGTGCTCGGCTGCTGCTTTGTGAGCGGCCACTTTGGCGGCGCCAAGGAGTCGAGCTTCAACGGCGCCGGCGCGTCGATCAACATGTCGCTCCTCTTCGTCTCGAGCTTTGCCATGCTCGTGCCCTCGTACTACCAGTCGACCATGACGCACGACACGCAGTTGGAGCACGAGCAGGCTGTCCTCGGCCTCTCGCACATCTCGGCCATCTTCCTCGTCCTCATGTACGCGCAGCTGCTCTTCTTCCAGCTCTACACGCACAAGGCCGAAGTCGACGAGAAGGAGGAAGAGCACAAGCCGGCTCTCTCGATGGCGTCGTCCATGATCATCCTCTGCCTCGCGACCGTCGCCGTCGCCTTCTTCTCCGAGTGGCTCGTCTCGTCGGTCGATGAAGTCACCGAGACGTCGGGCATCCCCAAGGCGTTCATTGGTATCATCCTCCTCCCGATTGTCGGCAACGCCGTCGAGCACATTACGGCGCTCAAGGTCGCGTACAAGAACAACATGGAGCTCGCGATGGGTGTGGCCATCGGGTCGGCGACGCAGATCTCGCTCTTCGTCGTGCCCGTGTGCGTCATTGCCGGCTGGATCATGGGCCAGCCCATGACGTTGGCCTTCAACACGTTCGAGGCCCTTACGTACATCTTCTCGACGCTCATCGTGTACGTCATCGTCGCCGACGGCAAGTCCAACTGGCTCGAGGGCTCGATGCTTCTGACGCTCTACTGCCTCGTCGGCCTCTCGCTCCTTGAGATCACCATCTAAGTCGCTTCCATGTTGTTGAGCTAACACGTTTCTCTTGACTTGTGTTGCTTCTCGCTTCTCTTCGCTACAAGCCATGCAGAGGCTGCACGGTCGATGCGACCCGACTGGCCAACGCCAAGTCATTGCACCGCCTCGCCGCTACGACCGTCGCCAGAGGCAGTCGCCAACGTAGAGCGATGAGCTGCGTGCAGCGCACCGGCAACGGCCGTCACCGATGCGTCGGTACCGCAGGCAGTCGCTGGCCGTGGCGCGTGATCGACGGCGTTCTTTCGGATATGAGCTCGGTGGCTCGTTCAAGCTCCAGCGCAATGCCGGCGCCTCGCCTTCTCCAGCAACTCGAGTAGCGTCAAGCAGCTAGTCCACAAAAGCGCTGCAGGTGCCCTGCTCGACCCACTTGGTCCAAGCCCTCGTCTCGCAACAGTGAGCTGCTTGGTAGCAGTGGCCACGCTGGTCACCAAGCGTCCGCGATGACTGCGAGCTCGCTCGCCCAAGGTCCTCGGGCTGTAGACCCTAACCCCGTCCTCCCACGACGGCGACTAGATTCTTTTGGTCCGTAGTGCGTGCAGGTATTTTGCAGTTATGTACAGGACTATTAGACGAGAATCGTGTTGGAGCACTAGCAATATGGCCACCGTCATCGCTCGACCATGACCTTGCCCGCATGCGTCTTCTTCTTGGCCGCGCGCTCCTTGTAGCGCGCTTCGAGCACCTTGCTAAACGCCTCGATGATTTGGATTTGCTCGAGCGTCACGTCGTCGGCTTCGTGGGCCACGAGGTCTGCGAGCGCCTTCTCAAACGTCGCGGGGGCGGCCACCGGGCGGGAGGCAATGAACTTGGTGTACGCGGCTTCGGCCGCCATGGCCTCGATCGCACTCGCCTGGGCTTGCTTGGCGAGCGCTTCCTCGGCCTGTCGCAGCGCCTGCTTTCGCTGCTCGACGTCGGCCAACTTTTTGGCAAGTCGCTGGTTCTCGGTCGACGGGGCGTTGTGGCGCCGCTTCTTCTCTTCGAGCCGCGCCATGAGCTGTGCGTGCTTGGACTCGCTCTCGTCGGCCGCCAACTGGGCAAGCCGCGCGCGGTCGACTTCGCTCGCGGCGAGGAGGGCGGCCACGGTCGCACTGTGGTCGTCGACCACGCTGGTCGGCGTCGGTGCAGCCACTTTTTTTGCGTGCTTCTTTTGGAGTCGTGCCTGCAACCGCGCGTCATGCGTCGCTTGCTCTTGCTGCAATTCGTCGTCCAATCGGGCGCGGTCGGCCGCGTTCTCGGCCTGCATGGCTTCGAGACGCGCCTTGGCGGCTGCGGCCGCGCTGAGCTGCTCGGCGTCCGACGCGATCTGCGCTTGGAGCTCCATGTGCTCTTGCTCGAGCGCCGCAAGGACCGGCGGCGGCGGCTCGTCGTCGTCCGTGTCCAGAGTGTCGTCTGCCGGCGCGCCGCCCGCCGGCGTGTCGTGGGCCCGTTGTCGGCGTTGTGCCAGGCGAGCGTCCAATCGCGCTTGATGCGCCGCCTTCTCGGCCTCCAACTCGGTGGCGACGCGAGCTGCTTCGCGGGCATGGGCTTCGTGCAGCGCTATCAGCGTGGCCTCGTTCTCGCTGGCCTGCGTCAGCTCGGCGGCGAGCGCGGTTTGCGCCGTTGCGAGCTCGGTGCGCTCTTCTTGGAGTGCTACGATGGCTTCGCTCGACTCGGCTTCGACGGCGTCGACCGGATTGACCCGTGCGAGGAGCCGTGCTTGGTGCGTCGCCTGCTCGGTCGCAAGCTCCTCGTTGAGCTTTTGCGTCTCGGCTTCGTTGGCCGCTTTGAGCGCGTCGAGGTCGTGCTGTTGCTGGAGCGCGAGCCGGCGCTTGGCGGCTGCCGCCTGCGCCGCCGCCATCTCGGCCACGCGGAGCGCATTCGTCCGCTCTTTGACACAGGCCGCTTCGTGGGCGCGGACTTTGGCGTCGAGCGATGTACTAGAATTATCTTGCGTCTTGGCTCGCAGCCGATCCACGACGCGGTGGGTCGTCGCCTTCTCGAGCTGCGAACGCAGCGCGAGAAGCTCGGCGTCCTGCGCTGCCGCAAGCGCTGCGAGCTGCGCTTCGTATTCGGCTTGGAGCGCGGCGGCCTGCGAGTCGGCAAGGGCATCGATCGCGTCTTGGTCCATGCTGTCGCCACCAGCCGCGTCGTTGGGCGAGAGCGACCGCAGCGGCGAGCTGCCGTCGGCGTCGACGACCGCATTGTCGTCGGTCGGCAGCAGCGTCGTGAGGTCGTTCCAGATGGCCTCCATGAACGACCGGCCGTTGCCGTCGCGCATCGCTTCGTGGAGCCGGCGCACGTGCACATCGGTGTCCCGCAAAACGCTCTCGTTGAACGCCGCCCACGTCTGCGCATACGTCGTCACGAGCTCGGCGAGCGCGACGCAGCCCTGCATCTCGACGACCTTGCGCATCGGCGTCGTCGACGGTGTCCACGTGAGTTCAATTTCGGCCAAGAGCCGGCTGCGCTGGTACGCCAGCGTATCTTCCAGCAGGCGGCGCTCGTCGGTTTGCATTTGCATCACGCTCGGCGCGTCGGCCAAATGGGGCGCGCTGTCGAGACGCCGGCGCCACGCCCCGTCGAGGTGGTCCCGCAGGCGGTTGTCGTTGGCGTCGCACTCGTCCAAGAGAATCCGGATTTGCGCTTGGTACGCTGGCAACACCGAGACAAACGACGCAACCTCGCGGTCGTCTTCGACAAGAGTGTCGAGGCGGTGGTAGAGGTCGTTGAGAAACGCGTCTTTGGTGCTTGTAAACGCTGCGACTTGGTTGGTGTAGAAGGCCACTTCGGCGTTCGCGCGCACCCACTTGGCGACGTCCTGCTCCCACCGCAGCGTCTGGACGTCCGTGTCGAGGTGGGCGCCTCGTGGGTGCCAAGAGAGTGCCTGCACCATCGAGTCCATACGTTTGAACTGCCGCGAGAACGCGTGGAGGGACGCCACGAGCCGTCGCGCGCGCAACACGCGGTACGTCTTGTACAGTCCAACGGCTACACCGCAAACGACCGTGAGCGCGATCGCACTGGCGAAGAGCGACTTGGCTGTCGACATGGACACGAGCGACGACGACGATGTGGTGTCGGTGGCGAGCTGCAAGACGCGGAGGCCGTTGCAGAGCGCGAGGCAGTCGGCCACCGACTCGCGCACGATGCACGCTGAGCCGCTGAGGACACCGTCGCATTGCACCGCGACGAGCCGTGTCGCGGGCGTCGGCGCCTGCAGCAGCAGAAACGTATCGCAGAGACGTTGACATGCAACCGAGACTTGGGCCAACGAGGGTGGCGACGGCAGTGGGAACGTCGTCCACGACGCCGTCGTGTTGCTCGTGCAGGCAAAGTCGCCGGCACCCATGAGACTGAAACGCCCGATAAGACGCGGCGGTTGACCGGTTCGAAGTGGCGACCACTCGCAATGACACGGTTGACATCGCCACCACCATCATCTCTAGATGTGAGTTAGTGTAGTTTTCTACGTTAGCTTCAGTCACCCGCGTCGCCCGGCGCTCCGGTTGAGGCCCACAACACATAGGCTCTGTCGCTTCAAGTTTCGCAAGCGTGAACGCGTGAGCTCACCGCCTGTAGCGAGGCAGGACGGTCGGTGGTGCGGCCCAAACACGAGGCTACTCGGACCAGTTGAAGCAGGACATCTCAAGGCAGGCGCAGCACGGTAGCAGTACGACACGGACCCATCGCTGCGACGGGTAGCCACTCAACGGCTTGGTTGTAGCAAGCAACGGGCTGTGCCAAACGCAAGCAAATGCAGGGGCCCTCGACTCGTACGCCGTGCCCAACACCAACATTTGCAGTCCTCGTTGAGGAGGAGGTGAATCTACTGCGTTAATTCTTCAAGTCGAACGAAAACTGGCTGAAGCGCCGGCTCCACTTGGTCTTGGCGCTCGAAACGTCGTGGACGGCCGATGGCGGGCCCTCGCGCGTAAACTCTGGGTCCACGTACCGCGTGTCCGTCTCGCTCGACTAGACACATATCCGATCTTAGGCCAAAATCTCGACATCAACGACGGTCCCCTACGAGGTGGGGGCGCCAGAACGCGGGCACTTGACGCGCCGCGAGCTTGGTCCAGTTGACATCGCGAAAGAACGGGTGGGCCTTGATCTTCTCGACACCAAAGCGCGCGTTCGGGTCGCGGTTCAAAAGCCCTAGTCGCTTAGTCGTACACAGAAATGTCGCACGGCGACCAATTACCGAGCACGAGCGACTTGGCGTCTTTAGGAAACTGGGGTGGGAACTGCACGTCTTCGCTCACGATGCGCTGGAGCATGATGCGCTCGTTCTCATGGTAAAAGGGCGAGACGCCCACGAGCATCTCATACTACATGTCTCATAAGACAATGTATTCCATCCAAAGACGTACAAAGACGATGCCAAAGCTCCACCAGTCGTACGACTTGCCGTAGTCGCGCGACCCGTCGGCGGTTTGCACGAGCGCTTCGGGCGCGACATACTCGGCTAGCCACTGGTCAGTTGATATACTGATACATATCTCGCGTACCGGTGCCCGAGAGCGTCTTGACGCCGTGGTTGGTGCCGTAAATGTGCTGCTTGGACAAGCCAAAGTCCACGACGCCAATGTGTCCTTCGTCGTCAATCATAACGTTCGACGGCTAGCACAACATGACAATATTGGTGCGATTGCTCACTCATCACAAGTACCTTGAGGTCCCGATACAAAATGTTGAGCGAATGCAAATACGAAATCGCAAGCACGAGCTCGGCTGCGTACAAGCGCGCGCTCTGGATGTCCAAGCCACCGCCTTTTTCATTGAGGTGGTAGAACAAGTCGCCGGCCGCATAGTACTTCATGCCTACATGCAATATTGTCATGTAAAAAGAGTGCACACAGTGAGAGCTAGACTTGGGTACCGAGGTAGAGCCGCTCGTTGGTTTGAAACGCAAAGATGAGCGACGAGACGTACGGGTGGTGGAGGCGCTGGAGGATCTGGCGCTCCTCCATCGCGTTTTGCATATCGACCGTGTCCATGGTCGACTTTTTCAAAATTTTGATGGCAAAGATGCGCCCGTCTTGCTTGTAGCGCACCATCATCACCTACAGGACGTGTATACACACCCTCTAGTCGAAGAAGAGGGTACGGCGCCAAAGCTGCCGCGGCCAAGCACTTGGAGCATCTCGAAATCTTCGATCGTCAGCGACTTGTGCGAGATCACCGTCGGCGCCGGCGGACCTACGCCCGACATGAGCACCGCGTCGATCCACTGCAGTGTCTACGGTCGCCTGGCTCGCCGAGCGGGGTAAGTGGCTGCAAGAACATCCCCGAATCTACAGTCGCGGTTCGGATGGTACGTCGAGCCCGTCCATGTACCTTGGCGGGGCACGGCTTGCAGTGGCGCCGGCGGCGGTGCCGTCGCCATCGGGACGCTGGCGGCCGGCGCGAGGTGCGTCCCCTAGAGAGCACAAATATTTGAATATAAATATGTAGTCGATATGATCTTACCGGACGGTATAATGGCTCGTGGGGCATCGCGAGAAGCATGCGGCTGTCCGGTCGCGTGCGCTTACGCTCCGTCATGCTCATAAAGTAGTGCTCGAGCGCGATTTGCACATTGCCGCCTGCGTGTGTTTCGTATCAATGTATCAAGTGCCAGCGAGATGTACCGGCGCCGTCGAGGTACGGCAGGAGCTGGTCGCGCGTCGACTGTGTCCCGACGACCGTTTGCATTTGATCGAGCTTGGCCTCGCGCTGCGTGAGCTCGTCCACCGTGACCGACGTGCGACCCGAGCCAAAGAGCGAGCTCGCGTCATCGTCGTCTTCATTGACGCGCGAGAGACGCGGCGGCCGCGCCTTGTTGACGCGGATGTTGAGTGGCGCAGGGATCGCTGTCGTCTTGGCGAGCGCGAGCGCGGCCTTGGCCGACAGCGCCGGACGAAAGTACAGGCGCCAGTGGCCGCTACAAGCTGTAGTCAGCGCTGCAAGCTTATCGAGAGAACGTACTCGGTCGGGCGCGTCAGGCCGAGAAAGCACCGGTGGACGTTGTTGAGCGGCGTCGCGACCTCGTTCGTGGCGATGGCGACCGGCTTGTTCCACGGCAGGTTCAGCGAGAGGCCGATGCTCTGGACGTGCCGAATGCAAATCTCGCGGTCTTTCCAGCGGTAGCTAGTGAGGAAGAAGGGCTCGCCGACGCTCATGACGGCGCCGAGGCCGAGGCCACGCACGACAAACTTGTTGCGGTCGTCCGTATCGCTCACCTAGACGAGACGTTGAGCGCGACAAGAGGGTTGTTGCAGGATGTACCGGCCGCCACTGGAGCGCATTGTTCTTGCGCGCACTCAGCCAAAGACCGTTGCACTCGAGCGAGACAATGTCGCCGTTGCGCAAGAGCACGTCCGTGCCCGGGCTGCCGCGCTTCCGGAACCGCAGCACGCGGAAACGCTCGTTCAGCGTCGTGACGGCGTCAACCGCGCCCGTTGTGAGCGTCGCCGACCCGTTGAGCGTGCTCAGCATACCCGGTGCGTCGAACGGGTGCAGCGTCAATGGCATCGACGAGCGGATGCTCTTAGTCGGGTCGATGGCCTCGGTCGGCGTCGCCTGCGCAAAGTAGAGGTTGACGGCGGTCGACACATCGTTCGAGGCCGCATGGAGGCACGAGAGGAGCACGTTCGTCGGGACCTCCTCGCCGAGGATCGTGCGGATGAGCTCGAGCTCCGAGGAGCCTTGCGCGGCCACGGGCCGGGATGGGCGGCGACTTGCTGCCATCATGCGTGCTGGCGTTCTTCGACCAAGATCGCAGTCACACGCCACTAAATGTGGCATCTGCCGCATATAAATACATTGCACACGCCATGCGACGTCACGATGTGTGCACCGCGCCGATGGCGAGGGCAGGCACGGCGGCAGCCCGACAAGACTATAGCAGTGGGCGCCTGCCAATAATCACAGCCATCACAGCGTCTGTGTTGCGCAGCGACTACGGTCGCATGCGGCTCGTGCCGAATCCGCAATGCCGAATCCAAGCACCTCAACAATGGTCGTCGTGTTTTTTGCGGGCGTCGACCAATCACATGCCGCGCTGTCGTCGGCTGCGAGTTAAAAGCGGCATCTGCCACAAAGCGACGTGGCAGTCACAGGGCACTCTGTCGTCCACGGCACACCTTGGCTCTCGTTGCACTTTGCTGTGTAGTACACTGCACATCATTGTCGCCAGTGTCATAGTATGCAGAAGGAGGTGAATTGTGAAAGGAGGGGTAGAATGCGTTAAAGTGGTAAAAAGAATTGAAATGAGAGGGGTGGGGGTGGCGCACGCGCACACCCCCGCTGGCAAAAATTGCGCTGTGGAGGAACCCGAAGGCACTCCTAGACCATTACAGCACCGGAGTGCATGAAGGCCTGCTCCGGCCCAAGTCAACCCCCGAGTTGATCAGGGTCGAGCTCCAGCCAGGTAAGTATGATCTACAAAGAGATTATACTGGGCGATTGCTAGAAACAAAATGCAGGAATTTGTGGTCGCCACGTACGAATCGACTCCAGATTCAACATGTCGCATGCCTGTCAACAGATTTGACTACACTTTTGTATGCATGTGAGCGAAAGACACGGAAGACATCGCAACGTCGGGGTCGTGCTAGCTGCAGAGCTTATCCAAGGATCTACAATTTACCACCACCCACAACCGTACGGACCGCAGCGCCAGCGAGGACCCCAGTAAGGACCCCAGCCAGGACCCCAGCCACCATGGCCCCAGCCACCATGACCCCAGCGACCATGGCCCCAGCCACCATGACCCCAGCGGCCATGACCCCAGCGACCATGACCCCAGCCACCGCGCCATTCCTGGTCAGAGCGCTCCGTCGGCACGTCCGGAGGCGTTGTTTCCTTCATCACAGGCGAATCCGGTGCAGTGGGGCCGGAAGGAGCAGTGTTGGCCGCAGCGACAGCGAGCATCGTGATCAAGCACGTCGTCTTCATGGAGGCAGGAGGTCGACAAATCCAATTTGAGGGTTCGAGGACGGCCAAGTCTGGACATCCTGGAAACTCCCAGGAATCGCGCTAAGATCGTAGTCGCAACGCTTCAGCGATCGCTTGGAAATCGCCGGTAAGGTCGTGCCAACAATTTGCCATGAGCTCTTGCCGTAATAACCTACCAGTCATATATGCTAGCTACAATGTCAAACGCTCGCTGCGAGCTTGCGCTAGCATCTAACTGGAGTTTACGTCCGTTGCGTGCAACATGAAACAATCTCTAATGTTATTGTCTTGACCAAGTCCATATCGCAATGATCGATGGCGTGTCGACTCTTCAGTTTGGCGGCGGCGGACGCCATCAACTGGGATCTCAACGGCCGTGGTAGAAGTGAAAGCATACATTTGTCTTAACAAGATCTACTATCACGTCGACGGTACTGGGATCGAAAGCGACGCGAGTAGAGACAAGAGCACGTGGTAGCCAGACGCCGAGAGGTGCACGCCGTCTTCGAAATCATTCTCGAGGTCCATGAGTGGCCAATCGACTTCCGTTGTCAGCAGCCCTTGCTCGCGCAGCATGGCCAGGTATGCTGCTCGAAAGGCCGGGGACCGCTCGTGTTGGCCGCGCGTCGGGATCGGCGGGATCGGAAGTACGTGCAAATGAGCGTCGGGCCATCGATCACGGAGCGCGGCCACAATGGCCGCCACGTGTTGGACCATACTTCTCAACTTCTTTTGCTCGCGCGGCGACGCGCCGTCGCCAGGGCCCAGGTCGTTGGAGCCAATCAAGACTGCGATTTGCTGGAGGCGCGCCGGTGCTAGGGATGCTTGCGTGTATCCACTGCCCTCTTCGTTGGCCACGCGCCACGCGAGCTGCGAAATGCGGTCGCCACCGACGCCACAGAGCCACGTCAACGGCGGGGCCAAGTGCGGGTGCTGCCACTGCAGGCGCTCCGTGAGCGAGTCGCCAAAGATCGCCGCCGTGTCATGCTCCGAGAGCGCTGCAATATGAGCGCCGAGGCCACTGCGAGTCTTCTCGCGCATGCTGGGTCGAGGCATCGTGTCAGATGCAGCTGTGAGGTTGCCCTTGGTGCAATCGCGCGATCGACCATCACTCGAGCAGGTCCGACCCATCACGACACGCACTCCTGTAGAACATTCCTTGCACTCGCTTTTTGGCAACTCGGCAAACTTGCACTTCAACACGCCTGCTCAGCACCATGGGTCAATATTGACCCTTGTCAGCACTCAATAGCAACGTGAGCTTAGGACAAGACAACCGGACTCTAGGAATGCCGTCTCGATTTGGCCCGAAAGCGTCGCATGAGCCAATGCCCATGTCCACAGGAGGCCATATATAGAGTGAGTACTCTGCGGCGAGGCCATGGAGAGGCTGTGCAAGAGCTTCATATTAGTAGTCGACTTGGCCGCCCAGAGTCGTATCGACGTCCCCACGGATGCCAATCTCAGCGATCGATTCGTAAATTTCCTGATGGCACGTCGATTCTATTTAGCTGCAACGTATTTTCCGACGCAAAATGTTGAGTAAAGACCCAACTAAATGGAGCTAAAATGGTCTTCCAAGACCTCTTTCGTGCTCGACATGATGAAGACGGCACCAATCAAGCGCAGACCGCGCGGGACCGTGCCCTTGTAGTAGAGCCCGAGGCCGCCGTCGCGCCAGAGCTGTGACGCATGCTTGGTCATGGAGGCCGCGTTGGCTTCCAGTGCATTCCCTTGTACGATCGTCTTGAACGTGTCGACGGGCTGGCTCGCCATCACAGCGACGAGACCGGCGGCGATGCTACCGCCCATGGCCGCCCACGTCTTTTGCGCCGTCGACGCCGTCGCCTTGTCGCCAAAGATGGACGGAAACGTGTCGTGGAGAGTCGACGAGACAACGGGCCCGAGCGCAAGGTAGCAGGCGCACCACGAGGCCTCGCGGAACGCCGTGAGTGGCAGGCCTCGGTACAGCCGCATCACGCCGTGGGAATGCACGATCGATCGGACGGTCGCGCTGAGAGACTGCCCTGTGCGCTGCTGGAGCGTCATGACGAGCTCGGCGGGCGAGCTCAGCAGCGACGAGAGGCCGCCGGCGATCATGGCGGTTCCGATGCGCCCGAGTGCGTCGTCGGGGGCGATAAGCTTCCCGAGCACGCCGTTGGCAGCAAATTGGACAGCGCAAATGGGCGCAATCGAGAGGCAGTTGATGCCGACGCCACGGTACATGACGCTGGGCCGAAAGACGACCAGCTGGCTTTGCTGCAAGGAAAGGATATGAGCGTTGCAGCACAGGCATTGGCAGTACCTGCAGCGTGTTCTTGATGTAGACCGTGGGCTGCTGGATGAGGACCTCGGTCATGCCCGAGATGGACCCGATGAGCGCGTGGTCGACACCGCTGAGCGGGCGTCGTTCCGTGCGCGTCATGGCTGTTCGAGCTTTGCGCAATCTTCGCTTTGGCCTCGGATCGCATCCGAAATCAAGCCAATCCCAGTGCTGTGCAGGTAATATAATGCTATTCCATACAAATATTAAGCTTTGTTTAACACAGGATATATAATTGCACATCGGATTTCAGCCAATCCAGAGCTGCAATGATATTTGGCCAATCCAAACGCGCACTGCCACTTGCTTACAAATTTGCTTTGGCATTTTGGCCAATGGCATCGCGTTCTTTTTTAATTGTGCTAATCAGCATAGCAATATCAAGATGGAATAAAACATTGGAGTTGAAGAGCGTACAGGCCGCCTTCAAGTTGCGCCACTGGGCCGATCATTCTCGTGCTTCACCGACCATGTCCGAATCGTCGACACCGACCTCGCCGGCCACCGCGATGCGCGCGCCACTCTCGGGCCTGCAGTACGCTGCCGTGGGCTCCGTCGCTGGCATGTTTGAAGTGTGCGTGCAGCAGCCGATGATGTACATCAAGAACTGCGTCCAGCAAAGCCGGCCCATGTCCTTCCACCCGCTCGTCATGTACCGGGGCGTCGGCGTCATGTGTGCCTCCATCGCACCTGTCTCGGCCGTGCAGTTTGCCGTCGATGGCGTGCTGACGACGTCGCTTCGCGCTGCCGACGTGCCGTCATCCGAGGGCTCGCGCATCCTCACGGCCGCGACAGCCGGCGTCTGCTCGTCGCTTCTGAGCTCGCCCGCCGAGCTCGTCATGACGCTGCAGCAGCACACGGGCCACGGCGTGCAGCGCACCATTCAAGACGTGACCGCGGCGCACGGTGTCAGACGGCTCTACCGCGGCCTGCCGTACACGTGCTTGCGTGAGATGATCTGGTGTGCGAGCTATCTCGCGCTCGGTCCCGTGCTGGGCGAGAAGCTCCATGCTCACTTCCCCGAGACGTTTGGCGACGCAGCAACCGCGTCGCTCTCGCAGCGAGGCGCCGCTGCCATGGGTGGCAGCATTGGTGCCGGGCTCATCGCCGTCCTCGCGACCCAGCCTGTGGACACGGTCAAGACGATCATGCAAGGCAACGCGCTCGACAAGAACGCGCTGGGTCTTGTAGGCGAGACGCGTCGGCTCTGGGCCCAAGGCGGTATCCGTTCCATGTACAAGGGCACCATTCCGCGCGGTGTCCGTCTCATTGGCGCCGTCTTCATCCTGTCCGAGACCAAGAAAATCCTCGAGGACCAGTGCCATCGCTACTACGCAGCGCCTGCCGCCGTCGCGGCCTAACCAAGTGGCCTTTCTCGTAGCGGCTATAAATAGAATTTCGAATCCTTCGATATTGTGGGCGCCAGTTTGACACGCCTAAGACAACGTACTCGTACTCCAGCGCGGAGCCAACTCGTCGAGACAAGAACGAGTTTGCTCGTGTCCTACGTGTCGTAGGACCTCGTTCGAATACCTCCTTTTACACCAAGTTAAACATTCTATTTCAATGCGCTACCGGGACAGATGCGTCTCGGTCTTGCGCTCCTCGAGGATATGGCATAAGCTCGGCTCGGCGCCGCCTCGTGTGTCGTACTGCGTCGCCGACGGATTGCTCGGCGTCGAGTGCTGCCACCAGTCGGACTTTTGCGACATCAAATCGTGGTTGGACTGCCGCCCTGTTGTGTTGAACATGGATTTGCTTGCGACCGAGTCGAGCATACTCGATGGCTGCTGCGACGGATGCTGCGCCGACGACGCGAGGATGAAATGGCGCTGCGGCAGCGGCGCTTGGCGGGGCTCTCGGTGGCGGCAGGAAGTGATTTCGAGGTCCGTGTCTTCGGCTTCTTCACGTGCGCGCCGCTTGCGTATGCACATGTATGCAATCAGCGCTGCTATACTGACGAGGCCCAAGAGGATGCCGAGGACAATGCTCGTCGTATTGTTGCTGGACGTGCTGGCGTCGTCCAGGGGCTTGAGAGTCGTCGGGTTGGGCGTCGTCGTCGCCGTCACGGGGGGCCGTGTTGTCGGAAGCGACGTCGTGCTGGTCGATGGCGACGGGGCGATCGAGGTCGGCGCCGGCGTCGACACGTTCTTGGGGCAAATTACTCCGTTTTGGCACCCGCCAAACGTCGGGTTGGTGCAATAGACAATCTTCTTTTGCATGTAGAGGCAGTTGTAGTCGTAGCATGCCGCCGAGCCGCGTATGCAGGGCGCGTCCAGGAGCGACTGCACGCAGGCTGTCGCGCTGCAGAGCGCGTCCGGAGGGTCCACCGTCGCAGCAGCTAAGATCGAATTCATGAGCAAAAGAGGTGTGGGACATGGAGGCAAGCCGCACCGGTGCCAGCCAGCAGTGTTAGGAGAACGCTTGTCGCCGCAAGCACCCGTGTTCGGCCCATGTCCGCTGCAGGTGGGTGGAACTGCACTGTGCGAGATTGGCGCGCAGCTGGCTCCATGCCAATCACAACCGGACCACGCGGCCGCAGCACGGTGTCCACGGCCGGTCTTTGAGGTATCGCTTTCTACAGGCTATGCATTGTGCCAGGTTATTGAGATACTTGGTGCGGCGAGACGAGGTGAGCAACGCGGCCACGCACGACGGTGTAGGCTAACAAGCGCAGCGCTCAGAGAAAGTATACGTGTCGTCGGGTATGTGATGCAGGCACGGGAGCAAGCCTTGCACAAGGCCACGTTCAGTGCGAGGTGCAGCTGGTGTGCAATATGTGTTTTGACAGGCTTCAAAAACTGCGGTATACATTGTGACAGGTTTGGACGCGAAAGGCGGGACAGAGCCGTTTTTTCGAAGGGCAATCTGACTCGAAGCAGCCGCAACATCGCGCGCATGTGCACACGGCAATGACGTCGAGTGGGGTTCCCAGGATTGTTCCTACCACAGAGGTACACTAGGCGTGACGCATGGTGTACGATAAACGTGCTGCGCTATCGTATGCGTCTGACGCTGTGATCTGTGCACCTCTACCGCTGCTTTCGTCGCCTCTACCCGCATCCTCGCGCGAAATGACATGCATCGAGTACATTGTTGGTTGACATGAATTTTCTACTCCGTCCATCGCTTCTTAGACGCCCAATGCAGCTACAACGACGACAGCAAGCGCCGTTGTAGCCAACGTCCCGCGGCACCAGAGTGTCGTTGCCGATGACGGAGGCGCCGTCGTCTTGGGCGAGGTTGAAGTCGGTGTCGACGCGCTAGTAGACGTGGGTGTGTTCGTGGGCGACGGCGTTGTGTCACCGGGAACCGTCACGACGGGCGTCGTCGCATTAGGCGGCGCCGTCGATGTCGTCGGCGTCGGTGGAAGCGTGGTGACGCTCGCGCACACGGTCCCGCCTTGGCATCCGTCGAACGTCGCATTCGTACAACGGGCGGTCTTGCCGCCCATGAGCTGACTCAGACATGTCGGGCAGTTCTCTGCGAGACGGTTGCAGAGCTTTCCCGTCGTGATGACGGTACATTCGTTCACAGCGCAGATTGGATCGTCGGCCATCGCGAAGCCTACATCGCGTATAAGTCGCTTACGATGGCTGCAATGACCACCTACCCGCGAGGCAGCCAAGGACGAGCGCTGTTGTACGTCGCACCATATTTGCAAATTGGAAATGGCATCGGTTGCCGCAGCTTTGCCAAGCCTCCTGGGCCGGCTCCAGCTGGCTTTGACGCATCTTCTACCTTAACATAAAGCATGCGTCTTGCAAGAGGCGGCCCACGCATGTTCCTGTGTACTAGTATCTGAGTCGCGCCTCCATCACGCTTTCCCAAGCACTCCACCACGGTTGCGTCAAGGCCGCGAGCAATGCAATGGCATGACACGCAAGCGTCGACGGTCGTCGAACCATAGTAGTCACATTACAAAGGGTCAAAGGCGTGGACTACGCACCGTTCTTGGCTGTACTGCTGTCGAAGACGACCGTCTCGGGCACGCACAGACCGTACGAGATGCAGCGCCAGCCTGTCGGGCACGCGGGGTCGCAGCGCAACGCGCCAACTTCGCAGCACTTGGTCTGCGGGTTGCACCATTCGTGGAGGCCGCAGTCTTGTGGAAAGTCGCACGGCGCAGTGCACGGCTCGGCGGCGGCGAAAGCGACGGCGACAAGGACGAGGGTCGGGAGGTGGCGAAGCATTGCTGGGTCGGGCAGATCGCAATATTCTATCCAAGTGGTCATTGGCTGAATAAATTGGAATATGCGCCAATAAAATGCAACGATTTTGAGCCAAGGCAGATCTGCACAGCACGCATTCTGGATTCGGCTGCATACCAGAACCCGTTCGCAGCGTCGTCCCAGAGGCGAAGATTGTGCCCACAAGAGCCTTCTACCCCGCCCTCGCAGCAGTCTCTGGCGCCTTGCCGCGCCAGAACGCGGTGCCAACCACGACATCGGACAAACGCACTGGTTCAAGAGTGACGGTACTTTTCTCGAGCATTTAAAAAGCAATGGTAAATGTTGTTTACACAGAACAGGATTTGTCGTACTAAAGCATTTTAATTCTCGTCGGCCCAGGAATTATAAAGACCAGCACTCTGCACTGGAGCGCAGTCCACCTGCCACGTCAATGGCTCGTGCAACTCTCCAAGTGCTAAAGCTGTTGTCCAGTTGCAGTTTACAAACAAGACGACATGGTCAAGAGGTTGTACCCACTTTAAGTGACTAGATGGTACTAGATGGTCACCAGGAACACTTTAATTCATCTTGACCATGCAGCCACATCGTTCAGAGCTCAGATCAAGATGCACAAGATCGACCCAGCTGTCGAGATTTGCCCTAGATACCTATACACGCTGCTGCGATCGCTCGCTACATACGAGAGCTCGTTTAGCAA